TAGCAGACAAGTCTGCAGGTACGCTTTCTGGTGACAGTCTTCCATCTTGTAGACGCAAAACGATCTCTCTCTGCTGTCGCCACTTCAGCCAGGTTCTCATAGAACCGCAATTGTTCCGGGGTCAGATTCCTGAAAGCTTCCGCAAGGTCCCGGTTCTCTTGCCGAGAAAAGAGGTTGGGTTGAACTCCAGCATTTCGTTCTTTAGCTTGCGCATGCACGAATGCATTCCAAGCTGACAACTTGTGCAACTTATGCTTCCTGGTTTTCGTCGACTTGGTCTTTGAAGTCTTGGCTTTGTTGTTCTGCCGCTTGGATCTCCGGTTCCCGGGCTCTGCTCTCAAGACCTGCAATTTTCGGTCTAGCTCCTAGTCTCCTAGGTTAGTTGCCGAACCAGTGTGACTATCAGAAAAAATCCCGGTTAGAGTCTAGGCCCCTAGGCCTAAATTTGCCTAAATCTGATGAGAGCAATCAGGATCAATTGGGCGCTCGGAACAGTTGCACACTAAATTTTGCGTGTACTGAGTCTAGTGAGTCTAGTGTGACTGTGACTAGCCGCCGAAATAGAAGGATAAGCGGCTATGGATAGGCTCATAGGCTCAGTAAGTCAGTAAGTGCTTCAGGAGCTGGCAGCCTAAGGCCTAAGGCTCAAGGCTTAAGGCTTCGGCTAACGGCTAAAGGTGTTAAGGAGACGCTACTGTTAATGGTGCTGCTGCGACGACCAAACCTGTGGCCTTAAGCCTTAAGCCTTGGGATTTGGGGGTCATCCTACATCCTAGAGGTCCTAGATCGCACAGGAGTGGTTGGGGCGAGGGGCATACAAACAACAACACTTGAATGAACCCTGGAATCAAGAAGAACACCTCAACGCCTCAGGGGAACGGCTAGGCGGCAAACTTTTGCGGACAAGACACATTGTTGAAAAATGATCTGCAGGCATACTCTGCACTGGCCAATGCAAGAGGCAGGCTCTTCACTTGAGTGGACCTCATGAGGACCACACGGCGAATTCCGGCGTGGCGAGACTCGATTCCAGAGATATCAAACTCTAGATGCAATGCTAGCATGCTCAATTCCGCGAGTGCATCTTCAGATCTCAAAGCTTGTGCCGAATCATAACGTGACAATATATCTGCTGAAAGAGGATCACGCAGACAAGCTTTCTCACGGTCAAGCAGGACTGCTTCAGGACTTCCAGCCAACACTTCGCCAAACAGCTTGAAAGGGTAAGCTTTGGTTGCAGTGCCAAGCAAGCGGTGGGCACAAGAGCCGGTGCGAGATAGTATGCGGAACATCAGTGAGCGAACCGGAAGGGTCAGGGCTTCAGAAGGCAGCGCTTGCATCCTGGCACCAAACAACGCACCAAGCTCATCGAAGAACACAGAGGTATGGCGACCTCTGTATTCTTCGACGACACGGTAACATCGCTCCTGGCCCCTGGAGCTGCGCAGCTGCTGCTCCTCTTCCCAAGCACTGCTGAACATGTACATGTTCTGAAACAGAAGATGGAAAACAGGCTGCATGACAATCCTCATCATGCAAAGACCAGCTCCCGGCGCAGAAGCTGCCCAGGCTTTGGCCTTGTCCTTCATGGACCTGTTGAAGGCAGCCCAGCTCTGCTCGTTTTTCGCCGCCTCGTCTGCAACCCTTGCACCAGCATCACCAGCATCAATGGCATCAATGGGCAAGACGGGCTCAGACGGCTCAGACACCATCTGAGCCTGAGCATCGCCATCTGCCAAAGCCAGACTCTGACCTGCCCAGCCCTGCCTTGGCTCTGCACTGGCTGCCGCTGCCGCAGCTTGTGGCTGCTGCTTGGACCCGGCCGCGTGAGAAGTGATCCATCTCACAACCAGATCGCCGAAGATGGCATGATGTGCGTCCAGAAGCCCAGCAAAATCAGTAGCTAGGTCAGCCCCGACCCATCTGGAGCGAGGAAATACCTCGCAGCGGCCTGGGATTAAAGCTGGGGTGACCCAAACCTCAAACTCCCGCAGAATCTGAGCACGTGATTTGCCCGTTGTAGTATAATGACAGATTTCTCTGGAACGAAGCTCGCCATTCAAGTAGTGTTCCAAGATCATTCGTTGTTGCTTTCGCTTCGTGTTCGCTTTTGAGTACCTTTTGTCACCCGCCGCTGCTCCCTCTGGAAGCACAGAAAGGAACATGTCGAGTACTTCTCGTCGGTGCTGCTTCGGAAACTGTGGAGCAGGACCCTGCTTCACCACAAGTCGCTCCGACCAAATGCTGTTCAATGCTTTTCGCAGCTGTTGTGCCGACCCAGCGTGTTGCATGGCAAGCGCAAGAGCGATGAGGCCAGAGATATCGGAGTCAAGCAATGCCGTGCATTTGGTTAAGACCTGAGCAATCATGTGACTTTTACAAAACATGTGTGAAAGAATCCACCCGCCCTCGTCGCCCGCATCGGCGCCCGCATCGTCGCCCGCATTCAAGGCAAGCTCTGCTTTGATGTTGGCCGCATAGCGGTCAGTGACCGCATGCTGAACTCTGTGAGAAAACATTCTTGACACTCGCTTGAGTTCTGGTACAAGATCCTCTAAATCGAGCTCACAAGCCATGATGGACTCTGCAGTGTTGCGGTCCATCCCCTGCAAGTATGTTGGCACTGTGCCATGTACCATTTGGTGTCTGCCGGCAGGGCTTTTCATCAGAAAGGCCAAGGAAAACTGGGTTTGCAGAATTTTTGTTACTGCCTTTTCAAAGCCGGGAGCCAATGGATCGACATCGCTGCAATGGAGCTTTACTCTCAGGGGAGTTTCATCATAACGGCGTTTTTTCAGGAAAAGCAGGGGTGTCCAACCAGCGGCGACCATGGAATCCACGGTGGAAAGCATGTGTCCCCACAACAATCCTCCGCCTTCAACACAGGCCGCTGCTGCCCGACACAAATGTCTGTTGAACACATAGCCTTCGACGGGGTCATTCAGTAAGGCAGTACCACCAGCAGACGCATTCGTTACATGTCGGTCTGAATACAGGAAGGCTTTCACCAGAGCGTCTGCCCTCGCCAAACTTTCTGCAGGAAGCCTTGCACCACCTTGATTCTGCAAACCCAGTGCCGAAACATGAAGCTGCATCTGCAAGCTGCTTCCGATATGTCTGAAGCGAGGCAACATCTCACCGGCTTCGATATGTTGCATGACAGATGGCCCCAAGCCCAGACCCACTACCGGCCTTCGCACCGGCTGCTCAGACTGCTGACCATGCTCACGGTTGATACTCAAGAATGCCCTGCGCAAGATCGAAGTCGCAGTACCAGGCCCAGGTCGGCGACCTTTCCGCTTGGGCTGGTCCGGCTGGTCCTGCCTCTGAGGAATTGGTTCCACAGCTTCTGCACCCTCTGTGATTCCGAAATCTTGCTCCAGCACATCAGCCCATGAGCCCATTTGATCATTTCACATCGAGACTTCTACAAATCTGCCCTGCATTGCCCTACATTGCTGTTCATGTCCAAGAGAAGCTCGCGAGAAGGAATTGGCATCAGCATCATTCACTGTTAAGTTAAATGTTATCCGTCAGCCCTGGAACAAAGCCAAGTTTGAGTTGTCACATTGTTCCAAATGGCCCTGCTTAAAAAATTAGGGGTGATCAGGGGAGCAGGAAAATCGAGTATAATGAGTATAACTAGGCCTAACTAGGCAAGCTTGGTTTCCAGCGGAGGCTGAAAGCTGAACGAACTAGACTGACTGCACTTCTGAAAACCTGCCGAACAGTAGAGGCTCCACAACTTGCTTGACTGCGCTTCTGAAAACCTGCCGCACAGCAGAGGCTCCACACTCGCTTACCTCAGGATGATGAACAAGTAAGCAGTAAAGGCAGCCTGTACTATGCAGTGTTACATGTGTTACAACACGGCTCACAGGAGCTAAGCTGCTAAGACGCTAAGAGGCTTACAGGGTGAGATTGTGCGGCTCGTGGGTGTTTGTGCACTGACTAAGGGCTGCGAAAAGTTAGTGCTTTGGGTGAAGGCTTTTTGGCTACCCCACCTACCGGACCTACCCACTGCAACCCCAACTCCAAAACTCGGCTGCAACACCTCGGGCGCGAAATCTTCAGCCACGAGCTCATGTTCAGCTTGCAGTGCGTGACCATGTAGCCAGGCTCGAACGGCATCTGGGAAAGGAGGAAGCAGAACCTGCGGCTTCAGGAGTTTTGGTTTGAGCCAGATAGGTCAAGTAGGGCCAAACAGTGCCAAACAGGGTGGGGTAGGCGTGTAAGCTTCGACGTTTAAAGTTTAAATGATTTTTTGTGTTGTTGTCAGGGCATCGGATACTCGGGAAATTTGAGAAAACTGGTGTGTGCAGGAGCGACACATTGAGCCCAACAAAACTTTGGTTCGGCTAGAAACTACTTACTGACTTACTAGAACCGGCCCTGTGCCCAGCAGCCCAGCACAGTTAACTGACACAACTCAAGAATCTCAAGAACCCAGTGGCATCAGCAGCCATTGGCAAAGACGGCATACACCACTGAAGTCACTGAAGAATGAGCACAAACAGGACAGACATCAGAAATCAATCCAGCAACCGATAGCCTGCCTGTCGAAAGGTGTCCCATCCTCGTCACAGGATAAGGGTGCCATGAAGCCCTCCACCTGCTCTAGCACGACTGTGGCGGGCTGGAACAACAGGAGCCACTCAAGGGCCCTCTCCATTGTCAATGGCAGCTGCGAGTGCGACATCACTGACCCCGCATGATATCTGTCGTGGCGGTACCTCGAAAAAGGATTGCAAGGCGTGCCTAGCACGCCCAAGTCTGGCTGCTCAACATGACACTGTTGCCCTGAATGCAGCAGGCAACCATGCCCACTCATTTGGTCTTCCATACTCTTAAACATATGCTTGATACCTCCTCCGTCATTGTGGTTTGCTGAGATGAAAGACCGATAACTTTCATCTGACTCGGCCACAGACATGATGTCCATCTCGATGTTCAGGGCCTGCCACAGACTCGCCGCGCGATGCCTTTTGACCCTTGCAGCTCTAACCCCCTAGGCCCTAGGTCGCAATCTTTGGCCTGGAGCCTTCAGCCTGCCCTCCCAAGACTGGTCAACCCTCGCAGGCAGCACTGGCAGACTGGCACTGATACGACCCTGTTCATGCAGTGCTTTGAAAAACGCAACTGCAACGATGCTACAGACTTACCGTCCGATGGCGCTTATGCTTGCTTCACAGACTGTCACACACAGGCCTTCATCACGAAACCTTCTGCGAAGCTGCCGCTGCAGCTGGACATGATCTTGATAGGGCCTCGCTCTGCCGCAGTGGAATGCGGCCGGAATCCGGCTTCGGCTGTGGCTTCCTTCAGGAGCCCTGACCACCACAGAGAAAAGGGGTTGGCATCCACACCATCTCCGGAACGTTGCGACAAAGCAACTGTTGAAGAACCTTCCTCGCTGTCCGACTCACACCTGTAAGCGTCGGCTGTCTGCACAGCTCTGGCTGCTGAACAAAAACGCTGCTCTTCTTTGCAAGCTATCACTTCCCATCCACTCATGGCTCACTCCAGCTACTCCAGCTGTCCAGCTCTGCAGGCTCGGCACTCCCTCACGAAAAAACTTGCCTCTGCTTGCTGCAACAAGCTGCTGTGAAACACCACAAAAAACACTCACTCGTCACTGGTTGCTTCCTTGCCTTGGGCCCAAGTGGAGTCCCAAAACAACAGCTGTGACAGGAAACGGCCACGGAAGCAAAAACAGATTCCCCCCCCCTTTTCCGGCTTGCAAAGGTATGACCCCAGCCCCATGCTGTAGTCGCTGTGACCTTGGTCCTAGACTTGACTAGACTGACTAGATGTGATTGCCGATAGGAAGCCTTGATCACTCAACTCACTATTCACTATTCAAGCATGATACAGCATTTGCAGAAGGAGTGGGCTCCACACAAAATTGAGTTTTTCCCAAAGCATGACAAAAAAAACTGTTCGATTGACAGCAAAATCATGTTCGATACCGATACTCCATGTGATTTCGCCGAAACATGCAGCAAGGCATAGGCCATAGGCATAGACTGCATCTGGCATAGGCATAGGCATAGGGCATAGGCATAAACCAACACTGCTAGATTTTAGATGACGGGCGCAAAACAAACTGTTCCACTACCTACGGACCTACCGACGTGCAACAAAGCTTGGGTAATTGATGGCTGTGTATGCTGTCAGCAATGATTTCTCCAGGTGGGAGCTCCCCCCAAGAAGCCGTTCACCAATCAAATCTCAGGGACCCTCTTTCTTGCTCTCTGCTTCCCTTCGCTGTTCTATACAAGTTGACACAAGATACAGATACAGATACAGTGTACAGAAAAACGGCCATGTTTCACAGCAAACCCACAGCTGAAATGGATCGGGGTTGGGTTGTGGGTCCTCGCAGCCTGCGCCGGCCGCTCGACTCGATGAGGGTTTCCAACAATCTGCGCCTCACACCCTGAGGTTGATCTTGATTCCCTTCTGGATTGCAGTTTATTTGCATTTTACAATATGTTTTTGCATAGATTAGATTCGATTAGATTTGGTTTGATTTGCATTTTACGATATGTTTTTGCATAGATTGGGTTCGATTTGCATTTTACGATATATTTTTGCATAAATTGGGTTCGATTTGCATTTTACAATATGTTTTGCTGTATATATTGGGTTCATTCCTATGTGATTTGCATTTTTTTTGCATTTTACACTACATTTTGCAATTTTACAATATGTTTTGCTGTATATATTGGGTTCATTCCTATGTGATTTGCATTTTTTTGCATTTTACACTACATTTTGCAATATTTGGGTGATTATCCGCTCAAATTGCTTTTTTTTCACATTTTTCATTACATTTTTTCCGCTTTTTCGTTTACATTGTTTTTGCTTTTTTTTTACATAGCTCTGGGGGGTCGCTTTTTTCATCGCTTTTTTTTTGCTTTGTTTTTGCTTTTCCAATTCCATTTCTGGAACCTGCCAAAGACCGGGACCACAAATCATAAGCCTACGCGGAATCGCCCCGGCTCCCGCCGCTGGTCTTCAAGCTCAACAGCCACAAGCCGGACAAGATCTGCCACGGAATCGACGTGGTCCGGTGCCGCAAGAACGCCCTGGCCCACAGCAAGTTCCCGGCACCCATCTTCTGCCCCAAGGACAACATGGAGCAAGCCCGCGAGGGGCACCTGGCGGACCTGA